TCTCTCTCTCTCTCTCTCTCTCTCTCTCTCTCTCTCTCTCTCCATCTTCCCCTTGATTCACATGTTATAGGGATAACTGCTCCATTGCCTCTAGACTAATCATCCACCTGGGCGTCTGCACGACCAGATACATTCTGGCAGAGAGGCATTTAAGTGATGAAGGCACAGTAAAGAGGCCAGGGAACAGCCATCTGTTTAGCATAGTGCAATATCGGATGCAAGTGGAAAAGGCTGAACATGAGGGTGACACCTGAACCTGGAATTGTTGGAAGATGCAAGTGCCGACTCAAGACCTGTCAAGGGTTCTCTCTGAAGCCAGAGCAGGCTGCACAATCAAGTACCTTGTTCATGCCAGGTATCATCTTTAGAAGGCCGCTCATGCTTCCCATTTTAGCCATCATTTTTGTCTGCTTCAAGAAGTCATTGAAGTCAAAATTAGCCTCCATGATCTTCTTTTGGATGGCCTCAGCATCCTCCTTCATCACCTGCGGAATAAAAAAGGTCGTCAAGAGAAAGGAAAACCACAGAACCGGAAAGAATATGTCAGTGCCCTCAAAAAGCAGCACCTTTCATCGGGCCTAGCTGCTCAGTTGCTACACCCATGAACTGTTGAAATGCACACCTGAGTTCAAATCCAGATGTAACAAGAAGTTACTAGTGCAGCTCAAAACGGCCCTCAGAATAGCGGAAAACAATCTAGCTACCAACCCCTCCTCTCTAATGTACACTGAAGCTAGGCTACCAGCTGGGCCGCCCGGGTCCCAGGTGGCCAGCCCATGCGGAGGACCAGAAAACGTCCCAGCAAAAAAAAATACAAAAAATGCACAAAAAAAAAAAACTATATTGTGCAGAAGAACAAACTCAACAACTTTTGCCTCAGGGTCACATCGAAATTTCAAATTTATTACCAAATTTAAAATAAAAACTTTAAAAAAAAAAAAATTATTATTTTTTTATTTTTTTATTTCTTTTTGGCCCGGCTGGGCAAGTGGACCCGGGCCACTCTGGTAGCCTAGCACTGAAGTATTAAAAAGGACAAGAGAAGAACTGGTGGTGTGGCGTCAGTGGGAACTGAAAGGACTCCAGATCAGAGCCAGAATGACTGACCTCGAGTTAAACGAACAGATGCCCTTGTGCCCGTGGTGGTAAGAGAACCACCGGGATTGAGGCTTTGCCTAGTGAGCCGCTCCATCTATTGGTGGGGAGCATCACCTGCTGGAAACCGGGTCCAGCTTCCCATAAATACATCCTTGAGTCGATTGGAACTCTTTGGGCCCTGCCAGCATTGATTGCCCTGGGTCACAGGGGATTGACTGTGCATGGTTTTTTGAGAATAACATCTTAGGCCATGGCGCCACTGGGATGGAAACTGGGTCCAGTGTCCCATCCAATCTTCTCTACCCTAGCTAACCTAAGGCCTGGTCTGGTGATGGGGGGAGAGCCACCGGGGGGCACCAGTGAGGTTCCCCTCCAACCCTGAGCTCCAGCCATCCACCCGCTAACCTCATTGGCACCTGCAGTAATCAACATAGTAAGAGAAGCAGCCCCTGCTGGAAACCGGGTCCAGCGTCCCATCCATACAACCGTGCTGAGAGGGTCACATACTTCTAGTCACATTGGCCCTTTTTTGAAAAAAACCTGGGTCAAGGCATACTGAGAGAAAAACCAAGGAAAAGCAGTTCCTGCTGGAAACCGGGTCCAGCGTCCCATACATCATCTCAAATGAAACGAGCAAAAAGGGAATTTCCGGAAAAACAAATGCGCTGCTCAGGTTCTTGGGAACGGTTCCACCAGGGACAAAGGGTGAGGGGGGAAGGGGTCTGCAAAGTCCTGAGCAGGACGCAGCGGGTTGTCGGGATCAATCTTTGTCCATTCGCGAAAGTGAAGCTGATAATCCCTTGTTATTCCTGCCTGCTGTCTCCTCGGCAGTCCTTCCTCCATCGGTCGATGATCCTGCCCATCCCCTGCCCGAGTTACCCTTGCTACCCATCCTTCCCTCCTACCGCCCAACCATTCCTCGCAGAACTGCGAGATAACCCTATCAATATCCCTTCTAGTGTGCAGCTGACTTAGTTTTTCCTTAACCGCACTCCACTGGGCCGTTTTATTCTCGATTGGTCACGGAGCAATCGAGAATAAAAGCTAACAACAGAGCCAGCTCCAAAGAGGGTCTTAAGGAGCTAACAGACCAACAGGCAACGTGGACAGACAGTGAAGGGATGCTGGAGATCGCAAAGAACTTCTACAAAGAACTTTATCGATCTAAAACACCAACAACCACCCCGACCAATATTCAAGCGGTCAGATCCAAAATGCTGCAATACCTAGACACGACAACATCTAATGAGCAAGCAAACAAACTGGATAAACCGCTATCCATGGAAGAGCTACAGTTTGCGGTCCAGATCATGAACAATAATAAGACCCCAGGCATTGACGGACTGACAAAGGAATTTTGGGAGAAATGTTGGCCCCTACTGGGCTTGGACCTTATGAATTTCTACAAGGACAACAGGGAAAAAGAAGTATGGGCGAAATCCCCAGCACCAGTGTTGTGACACATCTGTACAAGAAGGGTGATCGGGAAACTACAGACCAATATCCATTCTCACACTTCCCTATAAAATACTGGCCAAAGCCCTAGCCTTCCGCATATTGGACGTGACAGACAAATGCTTCCACATAGACCAATTGGGTTTTATACCAGGCAGGTATATCTTGGACAATGTAATGACCCTCAACGAGGCTTCCAAGAAAGTGATGGAGAAGAAAATCAGCACAGCGATTCTTTTCTTCGATTTCTAAAAGGCCTACGATCAGGTAAATTGGGAGTTCCTCGATGCGTGTATGGAAAGAATGGGGGTAGGTCCCAACTTCGGGAAATGGGTGCGAGTGCTATATAATAATGCCTCCGGATGCGTCCAGATCAACGGTTTGCTGTCTGAAGGCTACCCAATCTCCAGGTCGGTAAGACAAGGCAATCCGTTAGCACCGCCTATCTTTCTATTTGTCGTGGAAGCCATAGCTTCGTTCCTCCGTAAAGACCCATCCATCCAAAGACTGCCTGAAATGAATGTTGGCTCCTCACACCGCTTCATATTTCCCTCAGTAATCATGTTCGCAGATGATCTAACATTGTTGATACGAGCTTCCAACTTATCCATGGCAGCCTTAGTCAGAGCAATGGAAGCCTTCAGACTGGCATCAGAAATGAAGATAAATTGGGTAAAGACGGTAGGGTGGTGGTTATCCAACGAACCCATCCCACAACTTCAAGGACCAGAGGATCAGATGTCTTGGGAGATACCGGAGCAACCAACGAGATCCAAGTGACAAAGGACGGCCCAACTTCCCAAATGGCACAGAATCTCCTGGTCGTTCAAATCAACAAAATGGGGAAGTGGAGTTAAGCATTTACATCATTGTTGGGTAGGGCACTTACCATTAACACCTCCGTATTCTCAATGATGTGGTACATGGCCTCCATTTGGACAATACCAGACCAGACCATAAAAGATCTAAACAAGAAAGCCAGCGCCTACTTATGGTCAGGAAACCCCAACAAAGAAAATTACATTCCAAAGATAGCCTGGCACTATATCACAAGGAATCCAACACAGGGAGGACTAGGCACTATTGAACCCAAACAAGAAACGAAAGCCTTGCAAATTAAGTGGGTTATTAAGCTTGTGAGTAGACAATCACTACCGTGGAACAAACTAGCACAAGATAGCATCAGGAATCTGGCCCCAACGGAATCCCCCACTAACATGTCCGAACTGTTCTGGGTCATGAACAAAGACTGGATTCCAAAAACAGGGAGGAGAAAACATGGGATTCGCGCTCCCCCAACTCACAACCAGACACTAATCCGCTATTGGACGGCCCTTATACGTATCTAGAGAGAGATCATGCCCGAGAAACGAAACAAACCCAGGTCCAAAGAGGAAGTGCTCAGGCAGCCTCTCTTGGGAAACCCCTGGATCAGAGACGAGGGTGACCACCTGTGGACACTCTCCCACAGAGGCAACAAATGGCTGTCACGGATCAAACACGGTGTCTGGCGAGTAGGTCACAACTGGAACAAGGAAAGGAAGAACTGGTTGGACAAAAATGAGCTTAAACTCGACTGAAAGGCTGCCACCGCAGAGATGAGAGCCTACAAAAGATTATACAGAGCATTCCGGGGGGCTGGGTTGAGCTACTAAAGGAGGATTTTACAGGGAAAACCGGTGAGTGGGGGGTCCTAATCCAGGACACCTCCCCTGAGAGGGCCTACCAGTATTCCCATCGGATATCAGGTCCAGGTCCACGAGATGTCTTCACATCCTTCCCGATCCTGAAGACCAAGCCAGATGAACCATACATTCAGAATATCAACCCCCAAAGAGTAGTGCTGGATGCGTTTACACTCCGTAAAATAAGAACATTAGGTCTCTGGCCGAAACAGATATTCCAAATAGGGACAGCAATTCAAGACCTCGAGTTTGATCCCTCCGAATGAATAGGCGTGGCTCCCCAACCGATAAAGAACGACCAAATCACCAATCCCAAGATATGATTATACAGTTAAGCTGGGTTACAAGATGTTGTTAAAGACAAAGGACCCAGACCCAACAATCAAAGGAAGATGGAGTAAATTAATCCGTTCGGAGGCAGATCAGATAGCAAAAATTCCATGGAAGAAATATAAAACGATAAGACCTATAAAAATCAGACGTATGCAGTGGCTCATAACATACGTTGCCCTACCGGTTAACCAGTGGCTACAAGTTAGAAGAAGAAAGGACGGTCCAACCAGCTCTGATATTCGTGCAGTCTTCTCGGATCAAGAACAGGAAGATGTGATACATTGCCTAATTAACTGCAAAGAAGGCACAGAGTATTGGGCAAGGGCAGCAGCACTATGGGATAGTCTTTTCTCATCTCCCCTCCCAGAGCACCCCCTTCAACTGCTCCTCTGGACTAATCTACCCCCTAACTTCAGCCAATCAGAGAAAATCTGGTTCGGGATGGTGCGCAAGGTCACGCTATGGGCCATATGGAAGGAAAGATGCAGCAGAACACTAGACGGCACGAAGAACCCACGGGAGAAAGTGTGGGCAGCAACCAAAGAGATGATTGAAGCGGAAATCCTCTGTCATTGGAGAAAGGTTATACTCTGGGTACAGAACAGTCCAGAGACAGAACAGGTGACACTTGCCAAATTCAAGCGGGTCTGGTTGGTAGGTGACAAAGTGGCATGGCTAAATGGGCACGTCTTAAGCCACCAGTACTTGGCCAAGCTATCGGCCACAGAAAAAAATAGAGTAGAAACGTTCCTAGTTGGATGAATTTGGGCACTCCTGTAGTGGCCCGTACGTTTCCTAAAATCGTGGCACGTTAACGGGCACGACTTTCGAAAGTACTAGCGGTTTAAGATGGAAAAAGTGCCACAATTCTGTCAAGTCTGTATGCCAACAAAATACCCAGGTACATGAGGAAC